ACCCGGGTTTCTTTCTCTTCTTTTTTTTCTTTTCTTTTCTTTTCTTCCTTTGTTTCTTTTTTTTTTTTTTTTTTTTTTTTTTTTTTTGAGACCGAGTCTGGCTCTGTTGCCCAGGCTGGAGTGCAGTGGTGCAATCTTGGCTCACTGCAGCCTCTGCCTCCCGGGTTCCAGTGATTCTCCTGCCTCAGCCTTCCAAGCTGGGATTATAGGCACCCACCACCACACCGGGCTAATTTTTGTATTTTTAGTGGAGACAGGGTTTCACCATGTTGGCCAGGCTGTTCTCAAACTCCTGACCTCAGGTGATCTGTCCACCTCAGCCTCCCCAAATGCTAGGATTACAAGTGTGAGCTACCGTGCCTGTCCTGGTTTCTTCCTTTTCTAAGAAGGTTTAGTTGTCCAGCTCTTCCTTTGCTTCCATAAAATACCTCCAACATCCTTTCTTTCTTTCTTTTTTTTTTTTTTTTTTTGAGATGGAGTTTTGCTCTTGTTTCCCAGGCTAGAGTGCAAATGGCGCGATCTTGGCTCACCGCAACCTCCGCCTCCCGGGTTCAGGCAATTCTCCTGCCCTAGCCTCCTGAGTCGCTGGGATTACAGGCACGCGCCACCATGCCCAGCTAACTTTTTGTATTTTTAGTAGAGACAGGGTTTCACCATGTTGACCAGGATGGTCTTGATCTCTTGACCTCATGATCCACCCGCCTCGGCCTCCCACAGTGCTGGGATTACAGGCTTGAGCCACTGCGCCCGGCCTCAACATCCTTTCATTAACTTCCTTCTTCCCTTCCCTTCCTTCCTCCCTTATGCCCTCCTCCGTCCCTTCTTCTCTCTCTTCCTCCCTCCCTCCCTCCCTTCCTTCCTTCCTCCTTCCTTCTGCCATAGGACATTTCCATTACTCACAATCAAAAACTTGCAAACAAAACATTGCACATAGCCAAGTTTAACCTTGAAAGAGGCATAAATGACAGCAACTCTTTTGGGAATATGTATAGTTTCTTCTGAGGCATCTATAAAAGCCATCACTTTCACCAGCAACAGGATTGAATGTGCTACCATGGTTTGTATTTTATTGTTGTTCTTGTTTTTTTAAAAAAAAACTACCCAAGGCCTATGTTACAAATAAGTGAGAGAGGTATGGATTTGTGCTGATAGCTATCACCTCAATATTAGAAAGGCAGATTTTTTTTTTTTTTTTTTTGAGATGGAGTCTTACTCTATCATCCAGGCTGGAGGGTAGTGGTGCCATCTCAACTCACTGCAACCTTGGCCTCCCAGGTTCAAGAGACTCTACTTCATCAGCCTCCCGAGGAGCTGGGATTACAGGCTTGTGCCACCACATCCAGCTAATTTTCATATTTTTTAGTAGAGATGGGGTTTTGCCATGTTGCCCAGGCTGATCTTGAACTCCTGAGCTCATACAATCCACTTGCCTCATCCATCCAAAGAGCTAGGATTACAGGCGTGAGCCACTGTACCCGACCAGAAAGGCAGAATTTGAATACATTTCTACTATTGGTCTGGCCAAGAAAAAAGTGGCCAATGCGAATTTTATTTTACTCTTCTCTCCAATCTGATAAAGGAGAGAGGCCGGCATGGTGGCTCACGCCTGTAGTCCTAGCACTTTGGGAAGCTGAGGTGGGTGTATCACTTGAGGTCAGGAGTTTGAGACCAGCCTGGCCAACATGGTGAAACCTAGTCTCTACTAAAAATACAAAACTTAGCTGGGCGCGGTGGTGGGTGCCTGTAGTCCCAGCTACTCAGGAGACTGAGGCAGGAGAATCACTTGAATTCTGGAGGCGGAGGTTGCAGTGAGCCGAGATCATGCCACTGCACTCCAGCCTCAGCAACAAAGTGAGACTCTGTCTCAAAAATAAAAATAACAATAAAAATGATAAAGGAGAGAAAGAGGGGAAAAAATACAAAGAGCAAGCAAGAAAGACAAATGAGGAGAAACAGCCAGGCAATTTACAAATTGGATCTTTTTTTTTTTTTTTTGAGACAGAGTTTTGCTCTTGTTGCCCAGGCTAAAGTACAATTGTATGATCTTGGCTCACCACAACCTCCAGCTACCATGTTAAAGTGATTCTCCTGTCTCAGCCTCCTGAGTAGCTGGGATTACAGGCATGTGCCATCACGCCTGACTAATTTTGTGTTTTTGGTACAGACGGAGTTTCTCCATGTTGGTCAGGCTGGTCTTGAACTCCTGACCTCCGGTGATCCACCAGACTTGGCCTCCCAAAGGGCTGGGATTACAGGCGTGCGCCACTGTACCTGGCCACAAATTGGATAATTATATTGAGATGTAGAAGCATTAAAAATGAGAAAGTTATTTCCAGGTAAAAGGTCCTGATATTCAGGGAACAGCCATCATTATATCAGACTTAGCAGAGAGGTTTGAAAAATCAACTAATAGAAGAGGTTTTGATAAGACTTAGAGAAACACTTTTTGACACCTGAGAGGGGGCAATGAGAAAACAAGGGCTGGTGTGGATCTTTATCTCTTGGTAGTTGAAAGAAAAGGGCAAATTGCTCTTATTCATCCAGGATGGATCAGGTGAGCTCATCAGATCCTTCAGAGTCTAATGAATTATGCTTGGGGTTTCTTAAGGTTTGATGTTCCTGATCATTTTAACTGTTCTTTTTATATGTCTTACTATCATCATGGTTCCTCTGTGTGAGCTCATTCCTCCACTCCTATTAACTCTCCAGAGGTGAGGACTGCAGGGAAATGTGATATGTCACTTCTTGAAAAGCAGACCATTGGTTTCTTTTTCTTTCTTTTTTTTTTTTTTGGTAGAGATGATGGGATCTCACCATATTGCCCAGGCTGGTCTCAACCTCCTGGGCTCAAGCAATCCTTCCCCTCGGCCTCCTGAGTAGCTGGGACTATGGGTGTGTACCACCACTCCTGGCTAATTTTTTTGGGGAGATGGGGTCTCCCTATGTTGCCCAGGCTGCTCTTGAAATCCTGGGCTTCAGCTATCCTCCCACCTTGGCCTCCCAAAGTGCTGGGATAATAGGTGTGAGCCATTGCACCCAGCCCAGACCAATAGTTTCTTGATGCTTCATGCCCTTCAGAAAAAACGATTACAGAATCACAACCTGCTCAGAAGTGTGGCAAACCCAACAATCTGTCACCCCAAACGTGCTAATCATGTGGAACAGTAGCAATCAGATTCATGGCTAGCTCTTGTGAAATAGAAACGTGACACTTCAGTGACTGCCAGGTGGTGCTTAAATAAACTGGGACACTTCACCTTGAAAGCTTTTGGCAAGTGCTGGGAAGCCAAAACAGAAATAAATGATTTAAAAAGCTATGCACATTGCATAGGAATAGTCTAGTCACGTGTCCTGTAATGCCATAGCCTCATGCTATTGAGCACGTGGATTGTGGCTACAGGGTGACTGAGGAACTGATTTTGGAATTTTATTTAAATTTTATTAATTTCAATTTTTATTATATATATATATATATTTCTTTTTTTGTTTGTTTTGTTTTTAAGATGGAGTCTCACTCTGTTGCCCATGCTGGAGTGCAGTGGTGCAATCTCAGCTCACTGGGTTTAAGCTATTCTCCTGCCTCAACCTCCCAAGTAGCTGAGATTACAGGCATTTTTAGTAGAGATGGGGTTTCACCATGTTGGCCAGACTGGTCTCAAATTCCTGGCCTCAGGTGATCCGCCCGCCTTGGCCTCCCAAAGTGCTGGGATTGCAGGTGTGAGCCACCGCGCTCCGCCTATTTTTGATATTTTTTTAGAGACAGAGTCTCACTCTGTCACCAGGCTGGAGTGCAGTGGCACGATCTTGGCTCACTGCAACCTCTGCCTCCCGGATTCAAGCAATTCTCCTGCCTCAGCCTCCCGAGTAGCTGGGACTACAGGCATGCACCACCATGCCCCGCTAATATTTGTATTTTTAGTAGAGATGGGGTTTCGCCATGTTGGCCAGAATGGACCTCATGATCCACCCACCTCGGCCTCCCTAAGTGCTGGGATTATAGTCATGAGCCACCATGTCCAGCCTTATTATTAACTTTTTGAGACAGAGTGTCACTCTGTCACCCAGGCTGGAGTACAATAGTGCAATCATGGCTCACCACAACCTCTTACTCCCAGGTTCAAGCAATGCTCGTGCCTCAGCCTCTCAAGTAGCTGGGATTACAGGTGTGCGCCACCACACCTGGCTAATTTTTGTATTTTTAGTAGAGAGAGGGTTTTGCCATGTTGGCCAGGCTGGTCCCAAACTCCTGGCCTCAAGTGATCTGCCCTCCTTGGCCTCCCATAATGTTGAGATTACAGGCGTGAGCCACTGCACGCCGCTACAAAAGAAACCATTTTAAAATGAACAATTTGGCCTAGGTGCTGTGGCTCACACCTGTAATCCCAGCATTTGGGGAGGCCAAGGTGGGCAGATCACGAGGTGAAGAGATCAAGACCATCCTGGCCAACAGGGTGAAACCCCATCTCTACTAAAAATACAAAGATTACCTGGGCATGGTGGCACATGCCTGTAGTCCCAGCTACTCGGGAGGCTGAGACAGGAGAATTGCCTGAACCCAGGAGGCGGAGGTTGCAGTGAGCCAAGATCGCACCATTGCACTCCAGCCTGGCGCCTGGCAACAGAACAAGACTCTGTCTCAAAAAAAAAGAAAAAAAAAAATTTCATGACATTTAGTATGTTCACAATGTCATGCAACCACTGCCTTTATCTAGTTCCAAAACATTTTTATCACCCCAAAAGAAAACCCCATGCTCATTAAACAGTTGCTTCCCATTCTCCTCTCCTCCCAGCCCCTATCAACCACCAATCTGTTTTGTCTCTATGGATTTACCTATTCTGGATATTTCCTATAAATGGAATCATACAATATGTGACATTTTGTATCTGGCATCTTAGGCTTAGCATATTGTAATTGATTTCCATTTTAAATCAAAAAACCTAGGCCGGGCGTGGTGGCTAACGCCTGAGGTCAAGAGTTCAAGACCAGCCTGCCAACATGATGAAACCCCATCTCTATTAAAAATACAAAAATTAGCTGGGTGTAGTGGCATGTACCTGTAGTCCTAGCTACTCTGGAGGCTGAGGCAAGAGAATGGCTTGAACCCAGGAGGCAGAGATTGCAGTGAGCTGACATCATGCCACTGTGCTCTAGCCTGGGCAACAGAGTGAGACTCTGTCTTAAACAAGCAAGCAAACAAACAAATAGAAAACCCCCCAAAAACACCAAGACTTATTTGGCTAAGTTTGAATGAGTGAGTTTTGAGGACGGTGGGGTAGCTATCATTCAGATTAATTATCAGGACCATTCCTTACGGGCTAACCCGTGCTTGAGTTTTATGTGATTATGGCTGTAAGTAAAAAGTAAAGGAATTTCAGGGGTTATTTAGTGAAAACAAGATTGCTTAATGAAAACCACATTGTGGTCCCCAAGCAATGTTCTGGCATCTTGTCCACATGGCAGAACACAGTATGGGTACCCTCTACTGAACATAACCATTGTATGTCATATAGCTTTGGCATCTTGGACCAGTTAGGACCAAATAAAAGCCAACAGTGCCTGATAGCATAGATGGTACCCAATGGCACGAAGTGAAGATGTTCTTTGGATAAAGTGGAATTCAATTGAGATAGTCAAAACCATCAGAAACAGGCTGAGCATTGTGGCTCATGCGCTTGTAATCCCAGCACTTTGGGAGGCCGAGGTGCGCAGATCACTTGAGGTCAGGAGCTCAAGACCAGCCTGGCCAACATGGAGAAATACCATCTCTACTAAAAATACAAAAATTAGCAGCGTGTGGTGGCGCATGCCTGTAATCCCAGCTACTCTGAAAGCTGTGGCAGGAGAATCAGGGAAGTGGAGGTTGCAGTGAACCGAGATTGCACCACCGCACTCCAGCCTGGGCAACAGAGTGCGATTCTGTCTCAAAAATAAATAAATAAATAAATAAAATAACAAACAGGAAACAAACAAAAACAACCAAACAGAAAAACACCCAGCAGAAATAGCAGCATGCCTGGTTAATGTAGGCATATCCAGAACAGGAGGAAAGACCCACAAACCTGCCACTGACAAGACTCGTTTCTGCGTGTGATCTTCTCCTGTGCATTCCTGGAAATTCTGACGGAGAACACACTTTGCAGGAACCTGGAGCTCTACATTAAATAGTAGATGAGGGCATAGTGCATTGTCTCGGGTTGGGTTCCCCGAGAATCCTTGCCAAGAATTCAATTACCGGTTGTTTACTTGGGAGGTGATCCCAGGAAACAACAATGTGGGAACAGAGAAATGGAGACAGAGAAAGGAAGACAGCCAATACAAGCTGTGTTACCAAGCAGGTTACCACTGTGGGCAGCTGGAGCTCAGTCTCACTGGGGAGCCCTGGAAGACTGTACAGAATATGCTTATGCCTCAGCATTATCTGAATGGAGGATAAATACGGAGCTGGATTTTTTTTTTTCTTTTTTGAGATGGAGTCTTGCTCTGTCGCTCAGGCTGGAGTGCAATGGCACGATCTCAGCTCAACCTCCGCCTCCCCAGTTCAAGAGATTCTCCTGCCTCGGCCTCCTGAGTAGCTGGGATTACAGGAGGCCAAGGCACCACAAAAATTGGCTGCCATCACACCTGGCTAATTTTTGTATTTTTTGTAGAGATGGGCTTTCACCGTGTTGGCCAGGCTGGTCTCAAACTCCTGACCTCAAGTGATCTGCCCGCCTTGGCCTCCCAAAGTGCTGGGATTACAGTCGTGAGCCATTGTGCCCAGCCAGGAGCTGGGGTATTTATCTGACAACTCCCATCGTTCACTGGGTGAGGGCTACTTCTAGGGACTGGAACTTTCTGGGACTGCTGGGCTATCCTGCTTGCAGACCAGGTGTGCATCCACAACTAGAACAAAGCCTTCATTCAGAGAGACACAAGGAACATTCTTGGCATTTAGAAATGAGTGTTGCAGGGCTCTGGGCAGGGCCCCAATAGCATCCCCTACACGAGAGATTACACCAGGCTAGGAGCATAGAGGAACTGATCATATTTATCCCTGCGTTGGTCTCATCTCTGGCCCCATTTCAATCCTCACTCTTGTTTTGTTTCTTCTTCCTTCTCTCTTATGTATAATTTATGCTGTCTGGCTATGTCTTATGTACCCTTTTAAGCTGCCTTAAATCTCTTCTGGAACACAACAGAGTATAAATAAATACATACTAGTGAGGAGTAACATTTTTCCTTTATTTTTGACCATTTTCCTCCATTCCATGTCTTCTTGGAACAGACACTTACTCATCTGTGCCCAGCCTTGTGTTGAGCACATTGAAAACATTTGATTATTGTTCTGTAAAATAATAGGCAACATAAAGATACACTGAATGGTTTATAAGCTGACCCTGTGACCAGACCCAGATACAGAGGCACAGTCCTCTCTGGCCTCTGATTTCTTAAACCCAGTGCTTAGAACAGTGCTTGCCACATAGTACAGGTGCCCAGAAAATATGTGTTGAATGAATTAATGAGACTTATAGGACCTACATTGTATTAGTCCATTTTCATACTGCTGTGAAGAGATGCCAAAGACTGGGTAATTTGTAAAGAAAAAGAGGTTTAATGGACTCACAGTTCCACACGGCTGGGGAGGCCTCACAATCATGGCAGAAGGTGGAAGAGCAAAGGCACGTCTTACATGGTGGCTGGCAAGAGAGTGTGTGCAGGGGAACTGCCCTTTATAAAACCATCAGATTGGCTGGGTGCAATGGCTCACACCTGTAATCCTAGCACTTTGGGAGGCCAAGGTGGGCAGATTGCCTGAGCTCAGGTGTTTGAAACCAGCCTGGGCAACATGGTGAAACCCCGTTTCTACTAAAAATACAAAAAATTAGCCAGGTGTGATGGTGCATGCCTGTAATCCCAGCTACTTGGGAGGTTGAGGCACGAGAATCACTTAAGCCTGGGAGGTGGTGGTTGCAGCAAGCTGAGATTGTGCCACTGCACTCCAGCCTGGGAGATAGACTGAGACCCTGTATCAATCAATCAATAAAAATAATAAGACTATCAGATCTCATGAGACTTATTCATTATTATGAGAACAGTATGGGAAAAACCCAGCCCCATTTTTCAATTACCTCTCACTGGGTCCCTCCCATGACACATGGGGATTATGGGAGCTACAATTCAAAATGAGATTTGGGTGGGGACACAGCCAAACCATATCATACATACAGTAAGGCCTCCCTTAGACCACCAATTAGAAATTCATCAACATACTGGAATTGTGTTGTGTTTTTGTTTTCTTTGTTTGTTTAATACGGGGTCTCACTCTGTCACCTAGGCTGAAGTGCAGTGGCATGATCACAGCTCACTACAGCCTCAACTTCCCGGGCTCAAGTGATCCTCCCACCTCAGCCTCCTGAGTAGCTGGGACAACAGGCATGCACAACCACACCTAATTTTTTTTGTTTGTTTTTTGTTTTGTAGAGACAAGTTCTTACTATGTTGCCCACGCTGGCCTCAAACTCCTTAGCTCGGATGATTCACTCCCTGAGCCTTCCAAAATGCTGGGACTACAGGAATGAGCCACTGTGCCTGGCCACAACTGCATTTTTTGTAAGGTCAAGGCTGCCCTTGAAATTACCATCATGTGGATGTGTTTAATTTCATGAGCACGAGCTGAGGGGTAGGGACTAAAGATAGATCTAGAGATGGCGCTTTAAAATGTATACCCAGCAGGCTATGTGCATCCAAGAACACCCAATGGCAATTCAGAGGCAGTCTGTTTATGAGCCTAATCTTTGCTTGTAGATGTCCTGGCAAACTGTTCTTAATAACACCCCTATTGAGCAAAGAATTACCAGCAATGCTAGAAAGTGAGCTCCCCAGGAATCTCATATGCTAGAAATAGAGGGACTGCTTCACATCCCATGAATCTCTGAGGAACATGTTCTATTTAACTCCCTGTTTCCCCACAGGCATGGTTTGGGGCTAGGTTCTCTAGAAGCAGATGCTTATATGGAGTTTGGGGTACAAAATGCTCGTTAGGAATCAATCAGGCCAGGTGCGGTGGCTCACGCCTGTAATCCCAGCACTCTGGGAGGCCGAGGGGGCTTGATCTCTTGAGTCCAGGAGGTCAAGAGCAGTCTGGGCAACATGGTGAGACCCTGTCTCTGCAAAAAATACAAAAATTAGCCAGGCATGGCAGTTTGAGCCTGTAGTCCCAGCTACTTGGGAGGCTGAAGTGGGAGGATCACTTGAGCCTGGGAGATTGAGGCTACAGTGAGTTGAGATCCCATTCTACTCCAGCCTGGGCAACAGAGCAAGACCCTATCTCAAAAATAAATAAGTATGTAATGGAATCAGTCCCTATGAAAGGAATGAGAAGAAGCAGGATTGGGCAGAGGGAAATATACAGCTACAGTGCAGGTTTGACCAAGGTTTGGCTAACCAAGAGAGGAGCTCCAGAGGAAGGAGTGCCTATCAAAGTGTTCCAAGTCAGGTGGAATGGACGACCTTTATAAATGACTTTTCTGGCTGGGTGCGGTGGCTCACACCTGTAATCCCAGCACTTTGGAAGGCCGAGGTGGTTGGATCACTTGAGGTGAGGAGTTCGAGACCACCCTGTCCAACATGGGGAAATCCCATCTCTACTAAAAATACAAAATTAGGCTGGGACCCGTGGCTCACGCCTGTAATCCCAGCACCTCAGGAGGCCAAGGCAGGCGGATCACGAGGTCAGGAGTTCAAGACTAGACTGGCCAACATGGTAAAACCCCCTCTCTACTAAAAAATACAAAAATTTGCTGTGCATGGTGGCCCATGCCTGTAATCTCAGCTACTTGAGAGGCTGAGGTAGGAGAATTGCTTGAACCGGGGCCTGGTAGGCGGAGGTTGCAGTGAGCTGAGATCGCACCACTACACTCCAGCCTGGGCTACAGAGCAAGACTCCATCTCAAAAAAAAAAAAAAAAAAATTAGCTGGGCGTGGTGGCAGGTGATTGTAATCCCAGCTATTGGGAGGCTGAGATAGGAGAATTGCTTGAACCTGGGACACAGTGGTTGCAGTGA